TCTAGTGAAGAAGATGAACTGATCCGAAACCGGTAACCATTCAACAAACTCTAAAGGCTTGCAACCGCATACTTTCCGTCGTAGGACTGTACGCGACAAATCTTGCTCTTACATTAGTCACCCCAGCGCCGAATTGTGTCATTGTGAAAGCTTGATGTGGGCAGGTAGCTTTTGTTATAGTGCCTTTCCTCTACGGGTGATGTTCACTCAAACACCAGGAAATCCTATTTTGTTGTATTTATTTCTTTGATGAGTTCTTTGAGCTCTTTGCTAGGATTTCTTTCGTACCCGTGTGCCATGTTCCGACTTGGTCCTATGACTCCTTACAGAGTAAAGGCACCATGGCCAACGAGTGCGCTTCGTTGCACGCGTCCATCGAAACTAGGTCAGNAATCTCGATGTACTTTTTACCATAGTGCTCTATATTCTGAGAAGGATTACATCCTTCAGCAATTAGAATGTGGAGTCTTAAATCTGTTTGTTCAGCAAGGCGGAATTGAAGGCACAGTTCACGATTGGGCAAGGAAAGCTAAAGTTAGCAGCTAATGCANTCGACGGACGCGCGCAACGGACGTTCTCCATGGCCAACTGGCGCGCATTCACTGTTGTTGTAGCCTCTGGAGATTGGCACACACCGATGTTTTTGCCCTCTCTGCTTTCCTGATCTCACCCTGCACAGTGGCAGCGGTTGCTACTAGCTGTGGCGCACTCAATGGAGTGTATAAACAAAGAAATAAAATAAATAAACACTGAAGTACTTGTCAATAACCTTTCCTTTAATATCTTTTTATTTTCCTTGTAAACTAATGCAGTCGGGAAATTGGTTACAGTGGCTATACTTCTACCCAACTGTTTCGGATGACCTCAGTACTTCGCAAAAATGGGGTGCAGAAGAGGAACAGTTCTAAATCGCGGATTGTTTTCATGAAAATCGAAATAATTCAAATATCTTTCGGAAATGACAGGCCAGTATGGTGTGTCACTTACCACCACACCTCTTCCCCTAGTAGAAATTGACTCGGATAAAAAACAATTCACTAGGTGAGGTAGGACCAAATCCTCGCTTAGATTAAAGCATAACTTTATGCCTTAAGCCCGGAGAATGGCTAATAACGACTAGTTACTGGGGACTATTGGGGTATGTCTTGAAGATGGACACAAAATAACGGTTACTTAGTTGTCAACCCCCTGTATGTATAGCAGTCGTTGCGGCTTTTCATGTAGGTAGTCAGTACTGAGAAAACATTTCTAATGAAGCGAGTGAGCCGGTTCTATGCACCGTTCAATGGGGTTCTTGCATCAGTTCCATCTCCAAATGGTGCTGAAGAGATCTGAGAAGGAGAGGTGGCATACAGTCAAGTCAGTAAAGCGCCTAGATTTAGAAAAACGTTCAACTCTCATTCCTGCTAAGTTATCTTGGATTTGCTCCGTTCGGGGCTTTTAGCAAAAAGATTGCAATGAGGGTAAAGGGTATAATGCACACCCATGGCATGATTCTATCATACAATCTGCTCTCTTCCGATAGTTGTCAAAGTTTTAGCGATTCTTCTCTGACTACTTTTCGTTATCTACGGAACTCATTGCATGGTCTCTTTTTGTCCAGTCCATGGGAGCCGTGTAGAGGCTTTCTTTTTGAAAGTCCCTCTGCTCCTTATGAAATACAGTGAAACGTATCGTATATATAGAAGAACAGCGAATTCGCTAGAAGAGAACCTCGTATTCACTCGTGTCCTTTCTGTTTCTGCCATGCACCTGGTTCGGATCCAGGTCTTAGGTACTCTTTGAATATTCGGAACTTATGATTCCTTTGAAGAAATGATTTCGAACTAAAAGAAGTCCTTGTTAGAAAGTATCGGTGTGTGCTTGAATTTGGTTAGGTCTCTCCGTACACTGGGACTCTACGTGGTATGCTGAGAGCTCCGTAACTGTGAAATAAATTGAATTTTCTTTTTAGGGTTGATAGTTCTTCGAAAAAAAATTTAATTCAAGCCTAGAACTGTACAGTTGGAACAAATATCTACAGCAGATTCACGGAAGGAATTAACAACGCTCTCGCATCTTCTGGATGAATCACTGATGCACTTCGCTTTGAAGTCACAAGACCGTGACTCGAAAAAGTCATTGGTTGCTATATTTAAACCATTAAAGGCATCTTTCACGGTAATTACGAGGTGCCCTTTTTATGTTGAAAAGCGGAAGTGTTGATGTAGAGAAAGACATCGGCGGCGTAAAAAGCGAGGAAATCAGCCTACTTCAAGGTTTTTTTGAAGCTGTGTAAGCGGAGGGTGTACGAGGTCACCGTGACGAGATTGGCATGCAATGTTTGGACGAGATTTCACTCGCTCCCATTGCCCATAGAGATGACTACATCAAGCCGGAATTAATCGAAAGTACCCTCACTGTCACCATGGGTTATAACAAGTTGTTTGAACTTCAACATGAGGGTCTCTTGAGATGATGCGGCATCTACAAAGCCGTTGAAATTTATCTACTATTTGTGTAGCATTCACACGATTCAATCTCTGGCATTTGTTGTGCTCTACCTGGGAGGTTTTTAGACCTTATGACGGCAGTTATGGTGTTAGGGGGAACCTCGAATTCATAGTATAAAAGAATCTCAGAAACCATTTTTATCGTGAACTGTGCCAAATGAACACTATTCTTCGCTAAAAATGATTGGTGGTATGGAATAATTGGTCGTCAGAAGGTATTAAGCCAAGCAAGCTAGGTGGGTGAGCAAGGTCGATGATTTTTTGACGGGCCCCGAAGCAAAATGTGAAGACTCGTTGCAATAAGTAAACTACTGATCGTTTTGGACGTCTTTCACCGTGTGCTGAAGAGGCAGCTGAGAAATTTCTGTGTCCAGCGGCTCCAAGTAGGTGAGTCCTTTGATGCTCTACCGAGTTGAGAGAAGATGCCTGCGTTCCATTGAGTTAAATGGTAGACAGCCCCTTCTCCAAGTATCTCGCTGAAAGTGTAAACTGCTCCAGTTGCCCTTACCCATGCATCATTCATAAACGACGATGGCGAGAATTTTTCCCAATCGCTGATCATTAGGTCTCAAAAGCCCGTTTCCGTTCCTTGAAAAGTAATAGGTTCATGGCCCCGGAAAGCTAGGGAAGCCTTTGCCTTTACTTGCTTTGTACACAAAAGATTACTCCTGAATCGCATTTATTGCTGAACAACTTCCTCAACATCCTTTTGCATGACATTTGCACAGTCTAACACGATTCCTGGTCACTGAAATAGGGGAGATCAGAAGAAACCGAGAAGTTGTGCGACCGGGTATTAAAGAAGTTTCGGAACTGCCGAAATTTTCTGTCTCTCTTTTCATTTTTCCGAAATGCCTTTTTTGGTGTCATTTATCGTACAAAGGTAAAACCGTCAAGCTACCCCTCTCATATAGCAGTTCTACCGTATCGCTTTGAAGAGACGAAGTATAAACTCACTTATATACGAGCAAACTTAGAAGTTTAGCTAGTCGTTCAACAAATTATCTGTGGCCTAGGCAAGGACAGAAGCATTTTTATTGTGTTTATTGTGGGGTGCAACCTACCGCAATGCTAAGTCGCCTGCTACACTTTTCATAAATCCTGTAATACACTAATCCGAAGTTGACAAATATTGTTTACTATGGAGTGGGCAAATTTTCCAGGAGGTACGGTCTCCATATCTGTTGGAATGCAACTGTTTCGGTGCGGTTGAAAAATTGCACTGCAAACACTTATTCGCATATCATCAGTACCGAAAAAAACGAACGAACCGGATATCAAGAATGAAAGAAAAACATTAGACGAGACTTTTTTGTTGTTGATTCAAAAGGAAAGTGCAAGAAACAGCACAGAACGGGTGTTTAATGGGGTCTAATGCTGATAAAACATCAATGTCATATGTTTTCTTCTGACCACCGACGTCTTCTGTTTCCTTCTTTCGCTTCCTAGTTCGTCTTGATGTGCTCAGTCCTACTTTCCTTTACATATAGAGTATTGAAGGAACTTTGCTTGAGGGGATGGCCTAGGTTTATGGACTTTTAAAACTTTAGGGTCTTCCATCAAAGGCATGGCTCACATCGTTAATAGAGGGAATATTTGGTCAACGTAAAGCAGAAATAAAATGTGCCCAAGTGTTGTGCTTCCTTTCTCATCCCGTCTACATCTCACAAATGTAGCAGCAACTCGGGAAGAAACAAATCCCCTAGGAGCTTGTAATATCTTCTTTGAGCCAAAGCAGATCCATTAAGGGAACGAGTCTGATTCCTTGGCTTTGACGTTTGTATCGAACTGCCTTGTGATAGAAGATATGAGGATTGCGTAGGTCTGATTCGGAAAAGCACTATGTTCATGACGGATATGTAACTTCAAGTTCTTGCAAAGAATGACAAGCAAGAATAAATGTCCGAGTTTTCAGGTAGTTGGCGAATGCTCTGGTCCCTCGGCAATTTGATATTGTTGACACTTTTGGTAAGCTTCGAATAATTCTATTAAGGCTTAGTGAGTTTCCACACAATCCACTTAAATCCAGTGACTTTCCATGACGTTACGATCCTTGGAAAGAGGAGGGGCATAGGATTTACGCCCTATTAGAGCATCGATTGACTCTGTCAGTTACTGGTTTACTCATCCCATGCGCTCGGCGTTTGTGTTGTTGGGCTGTCTCATTTTCGAAATCCTAGCCATCGATACAGACCTTTACGATGAGTTCGATGACTACGACCAATCCCCGGTATAATTTCTAGTTTGTTATGTTATGTTATGTTTATTACGCTGCTAAGGCACACGTAGTATAAACGGATATCAGTCTTCTGGAACAAACTTAAATAATGAAATAAATACAAGGAACACATGTAATCGTAACTAGAGAAACCCGTAAAATAAGGTAATAGTGCAACTTCAGGGTTAGATATAAAACAAAGGCGTAGAAGAAGAAGTGGTCAACCGCAAGGAACTATGGAAGCTCATACTTACATAAAATTACTGCCATAGAGCGTTTGAACTTTGACAAGGAACTTTCTTAAGTATAACTGTCTTTCATACTTCAAAGTGTTCAGTTCTATTTCAGGCTGCTCCGAACTCAACGCTAACTCCAGAAGAGACATGTGCGTTGTGTCAAACAGCACTTCGCACTGTCTTTGGACACTTTGGAGCGAACATACCCAGTCGAAGAAAACTCGTCCATCAGCTTAAACACGAATGCAAACGACATTTCAATGTAAGTCACAGATTTATGGGCGATATCGTTTGGGGGGTTCATTACGCATACTATCTCCTCCTGGTGTGTGGTCGTAGATAGAATTCAGGTGACTGGCTACTTCATAAGTAAGATTTCATAAAAGCTATCCTCTGAAGTCCCATTGAGCATGGGACGATATGATATAGGCAGTTTCTAGTTCCTACTGGAAATTGCAAAGGAAATTAACAATTTTTAGAAAATTCTATAAAGTTTTATGGATGGGCGAAAATCAGCGTTTTTGTTTCCCCAAGAGGCATGCCTGTAAAATCAGGCTCAGAGGTATCGGGGACCAACTTACTACCATGTAATCCGATTCTCTGGAAGCGTTTTGAATCAAGCTGAGATTAAATTTGAATTTAGTTTACAAAAATTGTTTCAGTACCGCAGACGATGTCTCTTGCTGATGAAACAGCACTACAATATGGTATTCCTAGAAATGACGGATGGCTCATTCACCCCAATGCAAGCATGCTTAAACATGAAGGTGAGTAAACAATAATTCACGAGTCATTTGACATTTGTTTCCGCCCTTCGTTCTGAGCACTATGCGTAAATATTTGAATTTCCAACATTTTGAAACCACAACACCCGTCAAAATCCATCACTGATGTTTATGCTTCCGGTTCACTCATTCCGCTGAACCCCACGTCAACGAGCACCATTCGGATTTGCGACCTCTGCTCGCGGTAATCTGAGCAGATCTCGATTTAATCACCATGATGACGTCAAGTCAAAGATCGGCTGAATCAGAGCGTTTGAGCTGGTATCAGTGAAGTGCAGAGGAATTCCACAAGACTCGCTCTTGCGTTTAAGGCATTGACCTCAGCGAGATATAGCAAGTTTGATAGTTGATCGGAAGAAATGACCAAAAAGATGGTTTAATAGCGAACTGCGCTCACTAAAACTCCCTCAAGAACCTTTGCCGGAATCTGAACGGTTCCGGGCAAGAAAGTTCGTATTCTGTATCTTCTGATGGGAGCAAGTGGATGCGCGCACCAATGTCGTTCCTAAGAGTTGTTGAAGTCGGGCAATCGCAAAGGCAAAGAGGCTAGTAGATTGAACTTGATACTGAAAGAGATCTGACGAAATTGATGCATAACTCCACCGTTCCTTACCCCACACCATCACAAGTCCTCCTTACAACCCCGCTATACTGGAGTGGACCACTGTAGGGATACGTAATCGACCGTATTCTTCCTGGAAGGAGAAGTGGGACAATCGAACATGTGGGCGATGGGTTATCCTCCTACAGTGAACCCATCTTTTCATGAAGGCGCAAACTTGCAAATGTGCCTACATTATAATCTGCCTGCCTATGGGTGGAAAACGTTTCCTACATCTGAGAAAGTGTCGGAACATAGCCGATCCGGCGTGATCCATAACAGCCTCGATGCGACCTCAGCCAGGTCCCATCATTTGCCCGTTTGATTTCCCAGAGCTACAGATTCGGGAACAATAAGTGCTGTCAGAACTCAGCGAAGTGCATTGTTTCATCGACCGACAGGTTCAGCGTTGCTGGCTACGTGTTGACAACACTCGGCCGATGCATAGCGCTAATGCGGTTCCGAACACAATCTGTCCTGCATTGTCAACACGTAGCCAGCAACGCCGTCGGTCGGTCTGTGGAAAAGTGCATGGCGTTGAACTCTGAAAGCACCCAATGGCTGTTTTCATAGTCCGCAGGCAGGCGCGCAGGCAGTGCTAGGGGGGAGGAGGGAGGCAGACAGTGTAAGGCAAACAGTCCACGCCCCTTCGAAGGTTGTTTGTTTTCAACCCCTCGAAGGGGCGTGGNGATATCGTTTGGGGAGTTCTTTACGCATACTATCTCCTCCTGGTGTGTGACCGTAGATAGAATTCAGGGTGACTGGCTACTTCACAAGTAAGATTTCATAAAAGCTATCCTCTGAAGTCCCATTGAGCATAGGACGATATGTTATAGGCAGTTTCTAGTTCCTACTGGAAATTGCAAAGG